GCTGAACTGGGCTGTCCACCGTGAAGGCCTTGTACACGTATGAGGCTTGATTCTTACTGCCACGACTCCATATGACCATGTTTCCAGCCACATACAGCTCCTCCTCATATTCAACCTCATAAGGAGCAGTTCCCTTCCTCAGCTGCCAGCGCTCCTGCCAATCACATCACAATCATACTTAAAACATGCAGTATTTTAATTGAGAACAGTTTGATTTTGCTTAAAGGGGTCATCCGATGCCCATTTTCCACAAGTTGATATGATTCTTTAGGGTCTTAATGAAAAGTCTGTAACATAGTTTGGTTAAAATTTCTCAATGGTAGTGTAAAAAACACCTTTTATACCCTGTCAAAAACAGCTCTTTTCAGAGCAAGCCGTTTTGTAGCATTTTCCTTTAAATGGTCAAAAACAGCTCTTTAAAGATCAAGCCGTTTTTGTAGCATTTTCCTTTAAATGTTAATGAGCTCTGCTGACCCCTCCCCTCTCTTCCGAGCCGCTCTCTGAGTTTACTTTAGCCGCATTCATCGTTAAACTTGCTAATTAGCACAGTATTATTAAAGGCGATTTGCAAAGATTCATTAAAAAACCTTACACTCACTTCTTCTGGAGGTGAAGCTGGAACACGAATGATTCGCGCGAACATAAACGCATTTTTTCAGATCAGGGGCGCATTCCCTTCAAAAACAAACGTAATCCACTGCGTCTTCAGCGGCTGAGATGTCAGGAGTAAATGACGACTGCTATGTTCATTATTACATCCAACAACAGAACACCTCAATCGCTTAGGAGTCATTCTTGTCTACATCTGCTCCGGCGGTCGTCACTCACTCGTCACTCGCATTAATTATGAGTCCCTTTTTATCATATATATTATTATATCATATATACAACATGTCTCACACACCTTTTCACAGGCACTTTTGAAGCATTTGTTAGTCTGTCCATATTTTTGACATTGCTTTTTTCACAAAATAAACCATACTCACCTATTATTTTAGTATTATTGATATACTATTATAGTTTTTGCTAATATTTATTATATTAAATTTTATTATATTTTTTCTGTTTTCACTTTAATTTTAGTTAAAACTTTAGTCATTTTGGCTAGATTTTGTTTTATTTAAATATGTACATATAGTTTTTATTGATTTTTACTTCGTTTTAGCTGATATCACTTCAAGGTAAACTTTAATATATTATATAAAACATTGTTATATAATATTGTTATCCATGTCTTTCTTTCTCTGTTTAAACCAGACATATAACGTCCCCTCTCACTGTCCATCCATCTTTATTTCTATGCGTCCTCAATCTATAAGCATTCTTCATGCACCTCAACTGTCCACTGTTACTTTATACTTTTTTCGCTAAAATTACCACACAAAGCAACGGTTCATCAGCTGCAGGCGAAAATACATAATTTACTAGCGATTTCATCCAGCATCATGTATCAGTGTTATATAAAACATTGTTATATAATATTTTTATCCATGTCTTTCTTTCTCTGTTTAAACCAGACATATAACGTCCCCTCTCACTGTCCATCCATCTTCATCTTCACACACATATTAATCTTTATTTCTATGCGTCCTCAATCTATAAGCATTCTTCATGCACCTCAACTGTCCACTGTTACTTTATACTTTTTTCGCTAAAATTACCACACAAAGCAACGGTTCATCAGCTGCAGGCGAAAATACATAATTTACTAGCGATTTCATCCAGCATCATGTATCAGTGACAGTTATATTTGTTATGATAAGCTATTAATTCGTCACTTAATTGACTGCTGGGAAATACTTTAATAAAAGCATGTATTACACTGCACAAGAACTCTTAGATTTTGTAACGAATAACAACATTTACACAGTTTGAGGTAAAACACACAACTTTTTATATTGCAGTGAGTCTGTCATCCTGTTAGCATTAGCAGCGGCGCTACTGCTAACAACATCCGCTCAAATAATAATTACCTGCTAATAACAAATAGTCGAGCTTCCGGTCCTGGAGTGCGGTCCTTCCCTTTGACAGATGTCTCTCCCTCTGCAATCGCCTGCTCGTTGAGCCCAACATACAAACACATCAAAGTATGCAGTGAAAACCGACTGAGCACACTACACTGTTTCAAATGAACGCGGACATGTTGTTATCCCGTGACGCACTTCCGAGCGTCTGACCAATCAGAGAGCTGCGTTCTGGCGGTGTTCAAGGTAAAGTGATGATAATACCATGGTTGTTTGATATAATTACCATGGGACTGAACATCACACCATAGTATTGTCGTGTATGTGTCCAAAAACATGATATTTCCAGGGTGAATGTCCACAAAAGCCTAAACCACAGATTTTTTTTATGCCTTTTCTTCAAAAAAGTGGCAGCATTGAAAATCTAATTTTTTTATAGGACTGATATCCTATACATTTTCTTTCTTGGTGGCCAGTGCTCTTATCTTTCTATTTATAAAGGAATATAAGACAGACATTAAATACTAGTTCTGCAACTATCTTTATACATTTATTGCAATAGTTGTCAATCTTTATTACGAACAAGGACTTCGGGGAAGTCGTGGCCTAATGGTTAGAGAGTCGGACTCGTAACCCAAAGGTTGCGGGTTCGAGTCTCGTACCGGCAGGGATTGTAGGTGGGGGGAGTGATTGTACAGAGCTCTCTCCCACCTTCAATACCACAACTGAGGTGCCATTAAGCAAGGCACCAAACCCAAAATGCTCCCCGGGTGCCGCAGCATAAATGAGTGACGTGACATGTGGCCAAGTATGGTTACCCATACTTGGAATTAGTGCTCTGCATTTAACCCATCCTAAGTGCACACACACAGCAGTGAACACACACCCGGAGCAGTGGGCAGCCATTTATGCTGCGGCGCCCGGGGAGCAGTTGGGGGTTCGGTGCCTTGCTCAAGGGCACCTCAGTCATGGTATTGAAGGTGGGAGAGAGCACTGTACATTCACTCCCCCCACCTACAATCCCTGCCGGTACGGGACTCGAACCCGCAACCTTTGGGTTACGAGTCCGACTCTCTAACCATTAGGCCACGACTTCCCCAAATGCAAATGGCTGCCCACTGCTCCGGGTGTGTGTTCACGGTGTGTATATGCACTTTGGATGGGTTAATTGCAGAGCACTAATTCCAAGTATGGGTCACCATACTTGGCCACATGTCACGTCACTTCACTTCAAATTAATTGCATATCAGTGTTATAAACTAGTAACAACCACACTAAAACCCGAAGCCGCAGATTATTAATTAAACTTTTCTATTAGCTCTTTAAGGCTGCAGGTCACAATAAGTTGCATTTGAGTTCTCTAAATGGAAGTGATATATGATTGGAAAATCAATTTTA